GGACTTTGGCTTCACTCTATGTGAATTACAGGAATGTGATGAAAAAGCTATGTTTTTTTTTTTTTTTCATATTTTTATGACGTTTAGAAAGTGAACATTTTTAAGGCTGCAGGYTACAATCCTCACAGCATGTAGGCAAAAGTCAAGAATTACATTGTTTTAAGGAGACATGTCCTGCAAAATCCACTTTTTTAGTCATTAAATGCATTTTGGTGTGTACTTGGAGTCTCCATGAAGCAAGAAAATTTTTGTTTAGTGCTTAAGATATCTTCATATTCTGTTTGAGTCATATTTTTCAGCCCATTTAGTTTCTGTTTTTGGTTTTTCTATTTATGATGTTTTCCGATTTCCAAGTATTTGTGACAGAACTGCCAAATAAGGTCTGGACTTACCAACTACGATTTCATCGTCTTCATTCTCCTCTCCCTCTCTCTCTGGGTCAGACTCTGGCTCCAGCATGTGAGGCTGGATGGACAAGTCTTCTGTTGTTGACATCTTTTAATTAATTTGTAAATAAAACATTTCTGTGTAGCTATAGTCATAAACCTCTCAGGCTCTCAAGCTTCAATGGTACGTTCTGGAAGCTGGAGGGGGCGGGACTTGAACCACCTAGAGACAGCCTCAAAACGAGTTGATCTGAGACAAACCTCAGAAAAGTGGTGAAAGAGAGGCTTGTGGAGTTACAATAAGGAGGAATTCAGACAAAAGCATTGCAATCCCACTTATAGACCCCAAATGAATGATTTAAATGTGGAAAATATAAGGATTTTAAAGCATATGTCTCTTTTAATATAGAATAACTGAAATACCTCCCATCTAAACCATCCTTTAATGAAAAATGCAACTGATTTACCTTTAAAAACATTGTAATGCAGAATGAAGAGAGGTWAAAAAGGCTTAAAATAAATGTGGACAATTCCTGTCAAGACTAGTAGTAGTAGTACAGTGAAAGGCTTTGGTTTACATTAGTTTCAGGAGCTCTAAGCAGTGTTGTGATTTAACCCTTAAATTTTAGTTTTGGCTTTACCAGAATTTTTTTCTTGTAATTTGCTTTTTTAATTATTGTTTTCAAACCCAATTTTCAGTGTTCATTCTTGTTCGTCTTCTCCTTTGTCCAGCTGAGTACTTTGCCACAACCATGGTCATTGTTGGGCTTTCAGTCATCGCTACCGTTCTGGTCCTGCAGTACCACCACCATGACCCYGATGGGGGCAAGATGCCAAAGTGGGTGAGTCTTTTAGTTTTCACACTTACAGCACCTGACATATCAGGGGATCTTCTTTTTTTGCATTTAAACATGTCACTAGAAGTAACCTGAGGTCTTTTTTTACTTCATCAAGAGTCAATACTTAGTACAAAAAGTAAGGATATTTGTGTTTGTTATATTTTTTTTGTTGTAACAATACGTCTTGACAATGAATCTTGTACCAGGCACCTGATTGGCAGCAGAAGCTCAAKGGTCAGTGGGAACAGTAAAAGAAGCTGTTTGGAAGAAGAGTTGACATATTTTTCATTAGTACAACCCCCACATACTCAGCTCTACTGGTCACCCCACAGATGCATGTTCCTTACAAATGTGGCATCATTTAAAAGAGAAATGAACAGGCTTTCCAGCTGTACAAGATTTATTTCAAAGTAGCATTGTTACAACAAAGAATTAATCTACCAAACACTAATTTACTTACTTTTTGTTTGTGTAGTTTCTATCTGAGAGCCAATTAGAAAATGTTTATCCAGAGTCTCTTTTTGAAATCAAAAGTCAAAACCTAAATAATTTAGTGTCATATGTTTTTACAAGTTTAAAGTTAATAACAACCTTCTTCACTGTTCTGACCTGGAAGACTCGTGTGATCCTCCTGAACTGGTGCGCCTGGTTCCTACGGATGAGGCGTCCAGGTGAGGAGCGAGTGCGTTCAGCCTGTCACAACCAGACCCGGCGCAGCAGCCTGACCAGCGTGGACCTGAACGCCAGCACCTTGGCCTCCCAGTCCACGAACGGCCACATGCTGTATGTCGGCGTCCGCGGCCTGGAGAGCATCCACTGCTCCACAGCCGCCACCTCCCCCGACTCGGGGGTCCTCTGCGGACGGCTGCTAGGCAGGCCAGGCGAGGACGAGATGCTCCTCCCCTCCAGTCAGAGCTGCGCCCCGGGGGGCAACGTGGAACTGGAGCTGGCCAAGATCCTGGACGAGGTGCGGTACATCGCCAAGCGCTTTCGTGACCAGGACGAGGACGAGTCGGTGTGCAACGAGTGGAAGTTYGCCGCATCTGTCATCGACAGGCTTTGCCTCATGGCCTTCTCACTCTTCACCATCCTCTGCACCATYGGGATCCTCATGTCGGCTCCAAATTTTGTTGAAGCCATTTCCAAMGACTTTTTCACCTGAAGCTGTGATCATAAAGCTGCTGTTTCCTCTCACACCATAACTGATTGTAGAAYCTTAGGGAAGTCAATTTGCTCGCAATTCCACCCTTTCTTAAAATTAAATTCAAGGCTTTAATTCAGGTAAATAGTATGTGATGTATAAATTATGTGCATTAGGTTGTTTTGGTAAAAGGTTTTTCTGTCATTWAAGGGGACATATCATGCAAAATCCACTTTTTTAGCCCTTAAATAGATTTTGTTGTGAACTTGGTCTTATTTTTTAACCCGTTCAGTTTTCTCCATTTTCTATGACATTTTCTGAACTGTTTGTGAAGGAACTGCTAAAAAAGGTCCAGACTTACCAACTACAATTTGGTGGTTTTCATTCTCCTCTGGTTCAGACTCTGGCTCCAACATGTGAGGCTGGATGGACAAGTCTTCTGCTGTTGACATCTTTTAATTAATTTGTAAATAAAACATTTCTGCACAGCTATAGAACTACAATCCCCCCTGAGTGGACCACTCTGGCAGCTGGAGGGGGTGGGGGAAGAAGCGCCTGGTTTAGATTTAAAGAGACAGCCTCAAAACAAGTTGATCTGAGACATCCCTCAGAAAAGGGGTGAAAGAGGGGTTTGTGGAGTTACAAAAAGGATTAATTCATAACAAAGCATTGCAGTTACACTTTAAATAAACCCCAAATGAATGATTTCAATGTGGAAAAAGACGAATTTAAAAGCAGGATATGTCTTCTTTAAACTCCAAAATCCACAATATTAAAAATATAATCTGTATTTTGTGCATCTCTGYTATCTGATTATAAAATTGAATGTTTTCTCAGTGTTTTTGTTTTGGTTTGTTTTTGCAACTTTGCACCTGCAACCATGTTATGAATCATTATTTACTAATGTATGTGTTCTTATAAGATATATTCTACTTATGAAAGAGCTACAATAACTAAAAAATAATAAGGTGTGCTGACTACAGGCACTATCACCTGACTTTTCGTGGTGGGAGAGAGCAGCCATATTGTTCAGGGCGAGGACAACATAACAGACGGCACTGTTAGATGGTGAAGCTGAATGTGGTAACCATGACATGTTAAATTTAGGTCAGCACGTCAGTGAAACTCAGTTTGATATTGACGACCATTGTTTGGATTTCATAGAAATGTTTGTCAGAACATATATTTATATCAGGCAAAAAAAATTGCAATGTCTGCAATGCATGATGTTTCTAAAAAGCAGAAGCTAACCACCAAAAAAAACTAAAATTTATGTGCAATTCTATGCAGATATCTAGCCTTGATAAATGGTCAATCTTCTGAAATGAGCAGGATGCCTCTAGTCAATACACCTCATTGGTTGTATTATACTGTATCACCTAAATACTACTGCAACTGAGATACTCATTGCCTTTCTATAAACACAAGATATTACTGAGAGAGAAATAACGAAACACTGTAAAAATCGTGTAGTAATACTTTGTTGTTGAACTTGCTTTATCTTAATGTCTTTGAGGTTTTTAAAAAACTGATTTATGTCACAATATGTTAAATATTCTGCTTATAATTGATGCACTCTTTTGGTTTTGCCTTTGTTCACTGTAAAATGAAAYAAATAAATGTATTCTTGTTTGAAATTAAGCTTGCTTCTTTAAGAATGGGTRTTGTCTTGTTATTTAGCTATTGATCCATTTTTCACAAAACACAATGTCTTTAAAGGAAGGAATGTCTGGAAGGAATAAACCAAAACTTAGTTCACACACGCACGCACACACAAAATGCCTTGTTGGAATGTTTTAGATACCTTTTTTCCTGAAAATGGAACAAGATTCACAAATTTATTACCAAATGGTATTGAATGATGATATATAAAGGTTTTAAAAAACATGGTAAATCACTGTTAAGATTAACATTCAAACCAAAATATTTTGTTCTATTAACCTGATGCCTTGGTTTCTGATGGAGGATGGTTGGAAATGAAAATGTATCGCAAACCCACCCACACAGACCAGTATTTGGGTTTTGACTCTCATCTCCCACTGTTACACAAATTAGGAGTCATCAGGACTCTGTACCACAGAACAGACAGTGTCTCCACAAACACATGAGCCAGGGAGAAGAAGAAATCTCACATAAGACAAGTGTCAGGAGGACTTTGACCAGTTATACATCGGGGAAACAAAGCAGCCACTGTTCAAAAGAATGAGCCAACACAGAAGAGCTGCATCATAAGGCCTGGACTCTGCAGTTTACACTCATCTACAGACCAGCGGTCACTCTTTCAGGGATGAAGATGTTCTAATTTTTGATAGAGGGGAATGTTGGTTTGAG